GAATGAAAATCTCATTTTCCGAGTGCTCGAACTGCAGGTTGAGATAACATTTTATTTTTTTAAGATATTCACATCAAATTCTCTTTTTAGGTAACTTATGACACTTGGAATCTCTTCGGGAGTTCCAATCATATTTAAGTTATCAACATATAAAACAAAATCCTTTTTAAATAAAAACATATAAAAAAATAGGGTTATTTTTTATAACTTTCTTTCAATAAATAATCATTGAAGTGATTATATCACATGCACACGGGTTAGTAATAAATAGTAGATATAAAAATAAAATATAAAAAGTATAAATTGAATTTCTAAAATCCAAAATAATAAAACAAATACTAAAATAATCCTAATAGAGATCTCTATAATTTAATTGAATTTTTTTCTCGAGAATATGTATTACATGCTTCGGCATGTTAAGTCCTTCTAGGACTTTCATACCGATATAATTTCAAATGAATAAATAAACTGTGATCACATTTATTAAATGCATGCATTTGAATGTTTTTCATATATTTTTCCAAGCTAATGAGATAACAAAAGGCAATTGCATCCACTATAGGAGAATATGTCTCCTCATAGTCAATGTCAATTCTTTACGAAAACTTTTATGTTAAAAGTTTTCCTTTATATCTTATAATCTCATCTTTCTTATTTTATTTTTGCATAAATACATATTTCTATCCCACTACCTTAACATCTTTAGGTGTTTTAGCTATGGGTTCAAAAAACTACTATTTTATAAGAGAACATAATTCCGCTTACATTGCTCTTTTCATTAGGCTAATCATCTTTATGTCGATATTCTTCAATAATTTAGGCTTAGGATCCTTATTTTCATCTATAATATCAATTGTAATATTATATGCAAAAATCTTATCAATAGATGTTTCTTTTCGATCCTATTTTCTCCCCGCATTGATATAATTTATCAAAATCTCTTAATTTTTCTCAAGTATTTAGACTTCTTATGGAAGCCTATTATCGAAATATATTGGATCGTTTTGCGAATATTTTCATCTTGCCCTTTTCTTTTAGGAAATTTTATCTTTAAAACCGATCGGTCTTCCACGCTTCGGACGTGCTTTAGATTTATTAGCTATAACATTAATAGACTGTCCTTACGGGACATCAATTCTAATATAAGCATTCTCAGCGGGGACATGCATTATAGTTACTCATTTAGGATCCGAGAATGTATCTAGTAGTTGGTTTGTAATACCTTTTAAATGAATTATCTTTTTAACTTCGGTTCACATTATTTCGTACGAGATTCAATATGATATAAAGATAGAGTATTATATGTAATCTTTTTTTTCAACATTTTCAACTACTAATTTTGCTTATTCTCTCCCCCTAATGTTGAAAAAACTATTTTATCAAAATGACGATCGATAAATCGAGCTATAAAAATTTCCTCTTGTTCATGAATCAAGAGATTGAATTATCGAAGAGGATTCATATATTCTCAATCTCTTTTAAGTGCTCATTTTATTTCATTATAGAGGAGCACTAAGGATATACAACTGCAATGTCAAAAATTCTTAAATAAGAAATAATTGGCTCATGACCATAAATCAATTGAAGATGAGAGAATTTTTGACAACTTATGGGTCATATGCGAATAAGTATTGCTCGCATGTAAGATTGCACATTCCCAACCATAAACAGAGAGTTTTATTTTTAAATAATGATTTAGCTATCAATTGGAGTCTTTTGATAAATGATTTTGCTAAACCTTTTTTAGTCTAAACATGAGCAACGGGATGTTCAACCTTTATTTTAATAGCCAATCAATAATAATTTAATGCTTGAGAAATAAATTCATCGGCATTATCAAGGTGATTTATTTTAATGGCATAATTTAAAAATTATGCTTTAAAGCAAATTATTTGCTAGCAATCTCGAAAATGTCGGGTTTCGAGTAGATAATAAGTATATATGTGACCATCTTGTTGATGCATTTATCAAAATCATAAAATATTTAAATGGTCTACATGGTAGATGAATTGATCCACATATATCACCTTGAATACATATTAAAATACTGGAGATTCAATCTAAATTTTACTTGATGATGGCTTAATCATCAATTTGCCTTGACAACATGCAAGCACATGAAAGTTCATTAAATTGAAGAATCTTCCGGCTCTTCAATAGATGTCCATATGAATTTTTAATAATTTTTCGCATCATGAAAGACCCAAGATAGCACAATTGATCATGTCACATAATAAAAGTATTTGAATTAGTAAACTTCGGTTTACTACAATATTTGTTTCAATCATTTCAATATTTGTAATAAAGACTAGAAGAGAGAGCAAGTAAATTTTCAATACATATTTTCTACATGGTATAATGATTATAATATACAAGTATTCACATTTTCTATCTTGATATGATATTAATTTAAATGAATATCTTTGAAACTCAATAAATTTCTATGAGTCTTTGAAGAGAATAGTACATCATTTATAATAAATTTATCCTTTCGGATAATAATATATTTGCTCTTCCGGAGCCTTTAAATTAGTCACTTCAAGTAATAATATATCGACTCTTCTAGAGCCTTTAAAAATTTTTTCTTCAAGTAATAATTTATTCACTCTTCTAGAGCTTCAAAAATTTATCTCTTCAAGTCATGATATAATTGCTCTTCTAGAGCCTTTAAAATCTATCTCTTTAGATAATAATATAGTCGCTCTTCTAGAGCTTTCTATTGGATTGATATTATCATATATAATATTAACATAAAATAAATAATCAAATAAATCAATATATGGTTCATAAACATAAACAAATAAATAAATAGTAAAATAAATTTGTAACCATCAATATACAACATAAATTATAAGAAATATAAAACATTTTATTTATAAATATAAAAACTAACAAGTAATTAATTTCAATTACTATTACTTTAATATATAAAATTAGCCTCCATATTTATTTTCTTTTTCTTTTTCAACAAGGTTTGACAAGGCTTGATGAGGTGCTTTGGTGTACGGCAAGTACACGACTAATGTCCATTCATACCATATTTATAACATTCATTTTCAGAATGCCGACATTATCTATTTTCATTTTTTTTTCATAGTTATCCACTTCGGTGGTAAGATGTAATATTATGGTCATCACAATTATAATGATAATTATTTTGACCATATTCATGACTTTGACCACATCTTCATCCATGGCTATGACCACATCTTCATCCATGGCTATGACCACATCTTCATCCATGGTTAAAATTATTATAAATTGTCACATTCACTTCGGGGAATGGAGTAGATTCAATTGGATGAGATTTATTCTTTTTCATTTTATTTATCCATTAACAAGTATGAATTCAATCCAAAATATTTCTTTAACTCTTTTTCTCGATATGCTACTTGTAAGAGCATATTCGAGGTATGAAAAGTAGATGATATTAACTTAGCAGACAAGCACTTATGATAAATAATTCTTGCCCGAAATGTCAAGGGCCACAAAATCAAGCTTTGTGAGATTTGACATGATAAAAATTCTATAATACAAGATATAATAATGATGTTAGAAAATAAAAACAAACATAATAATAATATTCAAACTTCTCAAAACAACATGCATTAGATTATTAGAATATATATTAGATTATTCAAGTTTTCAAATATATATTATATGTACTATTATATTTAAAATAAAATATAGATTAGGTACATATCTCTTAATAGGCTAGATGATTTGCGTCGTTTGGTAAAACAATCGTGTCGATAACGTGTTGTAAAAAATAAAAGATATATGAGAATTTAAAAGAAGGATGGCAAAAAGAAGAATTCACTATAAAGTGAATACAAGTGAGAAAACTTCAAGTTATTCTCTTAATCTCTCTAAAAACTTGTACACCAACTAATGAACAATCAAGCCTATTTATAGGCTTCAAAATTGAGAAGAGAATTGGAAGGGGCTATGAATAATCAATTACATCACCCTTTCAATTTCTCATATTGAATGATGAATTGAATCATATTAAGAATCATGAGTAATGGGGATATGAAAAGTGGATGAACATGATGATGGATATTCATTATTTCATAACAAATATAAATTTTTATGCTAATATTATTTAATATTTTGCTAATAAATATATATAAATCAAACAATTTCATTTAACATAGAAATTCGATATATATTAAACATCGAAATAAAACTTCTATTCGTATTCTACTATACGAATCGTTAACCCTACACATATAACGATTATTTAACCATAATGTAACATAGGTATCTAACTAGTCGATACTAAACAAGAACAAACCAAATTAATGCAATTATAAAATCAACTACTTTTGAGACCCACAACACCAGGAATTTCAACAACGCCGCTTTGAATTGTTAATCTAAACAACACGGTGAGAGCTTACTTTGAATTTTTTTCTCTTCCTTTCTTTCGTAAGCGTATTTTGAAATTTGAAATGAGTGTTGACGGAGCTTCTAGTGCCTCCAGCAAACTTTTGCTTTTCCCTTTCTTTAAACTTTTCCCTTTCTTTAAAAATATAATAATATCAAATATCAGATAGGCATTTAATTTTAATTTTGTAGTGTAGTAAACAAACAAATTATTAGGTACGTTCAAAATTATACTCTTTATCTCTAATAAAAAGGATTCATGAACGATCAATTGTACGAGACTGAAGCAATCAGTTTGTTTGCTTCGGGATGGATTTTGCAGAAACACAGAATCAACTATCAGTCCGTTAGAATTAGTTACTTATATCCTCGGAAAAAAAAAAAAAAAAAAAAAAAAAAAAAAAAAACCCTTATTTATTTATAGAGCAAACCATTATACAGGGCATTACCGCAACTGAATTCATACCTCATTTATCTATAGAACAAACCATTATACAAGGCATTACGCAACTGAATTCATATTCAAATATGAATTCAGTAATTCTATTTTCTTCTATCTAGCACAGGTTCCAGAGGAAGTAGGAAAATAGCCTGGTCCAAAGATCACAGCACTATGGATGTGTGAAAAGCATTATCTTTGCAACCTCCAGTGCCTTATCACGCCCAAGCAGCTTCTCCACGATTGCCAGGGCAAACTCCATCGAAGTGCCAGGACCTCTGCTGGTGATGAGGTTGCCATCAACCACAACCCTATTTTCAATTTCACTTTGATCTGACAGCTTGTTACACATTGCAGGAAAAGCTGTGACCTTTTTACCCTATATACCCAAGGAAAACAATACCATTAAGTAGAAGAGAGAAGACATATATCACCATGGTGAATTAACCTGCAGTTTGCAGCTTATTAAGCTGGGCAGTTTCGTATGTTGAGTGTATACTTAATATAAAGACTCAATACATGACCTATAGGATCAAATTGGTTCCAGATTATGTGGACAGATTTAATTACTAATGGCACAAGTAAACCTGAGGACACGGTTTCATATGTTAAAGAGTTCAATTAATACAAGACCAAATACATGATATAAAGGATCAAAATGGTTCCAGATTATGTCAGCAGATTTAATTACTGATGGCATAAGTTTAACCTGACCCTTAAAGCTTCTACTGACTTTCAATACCTCTCAAAGCGTCAAAAAATGCCACCATTCAATACTTAAGATTTAATTAATAGTTTACAACCATTCCTCAATGCAGATTAGGATGTCATATCTATTAAGGAAATTAATATGACATGCATTTGCAAGGTCTTCTGAGCTATTTGGCACCAATTAACTTCAGATGATAACTGAAATAGAAGGCTGAGAGAAAGGAGATAATGATAACTGAAATAGCTGAAATAGAAGGAAAAGAGTACTCTCCCTCTCCCTCTCCCTCACACCCCCCACCCCTCTTCCCCCCCTTCCTCTCTCTCTCTCTCTCTCTCTCTCTCTCTCACACACACACACACACACACACCCCCAAGCAAAATGGTCCATCTCATGGTATGCTATAGTTAGCACATATTAAACACCTTGAAATCCAGAATTAAAGATGTTAACTCCAGTGGCATCAATAGTGAAGAAGTTGGCTATCTACATGGTATCATTGGAAGGCAAATGACATATGTTGCAACATCATGACCAAATTTAATTCTAAGCCACATGGCAGCTAAATTTGCAGTGTGATTTGAATCAGGCCCTTCAGCCACATTTACCATTGCAAGTTTTACATGTGCTGAAAAGCCAACCATTTTTTCTACTACTATCTTCTCCCGTGATAAATCAGGCTTAGTAGCCTGATTCAAATGATAAGCAAGTACCAGATGCATTCCACCTCAGCTACCATGCAGCATTAGAATAAATTAAATCAATGATGTTGCATTTGGCATTTGCCCTTCTAAATTCTAATCAAAGGGATGACCACCTGCTTCACTATTCATAAACTAAAGCATGAATGAGTTTAATGCATAGGAATAAATTAAATCAATGATGTTGCATTTGGCATTTTCCCTTCTAAATTCTAATCGATGACAAGGGATGGCCACCTGCTTCACTATTCATAACACTAAAGCAAATATGACTTCAATGCATTTTAGAATTCTTTTGGCACGTAGCAGCCACACAAATCTTAAAATAAATTATTAACTTCAAAAGGCCTACTATCAATTGCAGGTACATCTCATTTACAGTATCCATCCATGCCTACGTTGTTTAAAGCACTATGATAATAGTGAATTCAGCACAAATCATGGACCCATACTTATCAACTGGACCATTTCAAAAACAATTTAGCCAAAGAGAATTTAATCATTTTGAGTATGTTTCAGTAAACATACATGATAACACACAAATACCGTAGAAGTACAATCCTTACAAAATAAAAAGTTATCTAACTTCCTATTTTATACTTGAATAATCCATTATTTGATACTTACCTTGCAAATAATCATAAACACCAAAAACAATCAGAACCAAACAGGTCCATAATCAACGTGTGCAATCTTAATGATAATATCCATAAGTCGATGTTTTACAAGAAATGTTGTTGATGCACAATTATATTGATGCTGGTTAAGTTGATACCTTGAGTAGGCCGTGAGGCTCCAAGACTAAAGCAGGAGATGCACATATAGCTCCATATGGTCTATTTGATTCCCTTTGCTTCTTTAGCATATTCACCAATTTTTCAGACTTTGCAAATGCTTGGGCACCGCCAAGCCCACCCTGCCAAAATGCAATCATGCAAAAAGAAATTTTGGTAAGTGGTAATGCCTAGTCGCCTACAGATTTTTATTATCCAAAAAGGAAAACTCAAAAACTTACTGGCAAGACAATCAGGTCATACGAAAGTTTAGCAGCCTCATCAAGGAGCATATCAGCCTCTAGTTTAACTTTACGAGAGGCCAAAATTTCCAAGCTATCAACAGAGGCCACCACTACATTTACTTGAGCTCGTCGCAGAATGTCAATGATCATAATAGCTTCCATTTCCTCTGTGCCATTAGCAATGGGTACAAGAACCTGAAAGGAAAGAAAATTCAAATATACATAGAACATCAAACACACTTTTCCACAAACAAATAAAATAATGCCAATTTGCATAGTTGGCAATGTCATAAAATTGAAGAAAAGCAAGAGGTTGAAGATAACTTCAAGGCTTGAACAGATTGCTTCCTATCATTTGGATATGAGTTGTGACCATCAGAGAGTAAGGTTATAACCACTTTCTCACCCCCACTTCAATAAGAAAAAACAAGCTATTTATGATAATTCAAAATTTACTTCTTATCTAGTTCTGACCTCAGGATGTAACATGTTGGATGAACTCAAGTCATTGGAACAGTCAACATAAAGCATTTCAAATTACTACTTCAAGAATAACATAGTTATGGAATTGGCTTTCCATTATATGCCGAGACATTACTGAGAATCTGAATAGCTTTAGCAAGAGCTATAACAGCTGCCGCTAAAAAGTCACTTGTGATATAGTTTCTGTGGTACGAATTATAGGTTTGCACTACTGGTCTTGCATGTTACATTTATGCAGACGAACAGGATTTGTGCCTTCACAAATCTGAACTGCTACTGTTAGACATCACCTCCTATAGTCTGAGACACACCATCCACACTATAAAACATAGTGGTGGTTATTTAACAAGTCCTTGTCAACAATGGATAACATTTCACTGTAAGAATTACCACCTCAGCGGCAGTAGCTACTCAAATAATGCAGACATCACTATAGATAAAACATTTCATGCTTGCTTATAATATATTGGTCAATACATGCATAATTGATAGAAAAGAATGAAGATAACCATGATTAATGGTTAGCTGAAGAAGGAAAATGAAAGTTGCCAAAATCTCACCTGAGGAACATCGTCAAAGGTCCATTGCATTGGATTTAGCTCTTTTATGCTATATTCATCCCCATGGTTGGAACGCATCACCTACATACAAAATAACACTAATGAATAACACCAATGGAGATAAAATATTAAGTAAAAACACATTACATGTACGGGAGTATTTAATGCAGCAAAATTTAAGAAACATTCGTGCATAATTGCTAGAGCATTTCTCCATACAGATAATCAGAGACCACCGAGGATTCTTTCATGCTACAACCTATATTTAAGCTAGCACAAAAGGATAACTAGGGCAGAGGCCTTACATTTCTTTTGTTGATGGCTGATAAATATGTTAGAATGCACAAAAAATAAGACTTGGCTCAAAATAGAGGAAGCACAAAAGAAACCATAGCAAAGAAAACAAGGAAAAAATAAAATAACATTGACCACCAAAACCAGAAAAGAATAGCAAGTACAACCGACCCAATTTATCTGAGACTAAGGATTTAAGTAAATACAAGGGACATTAGACAACTTTTTTTTCTCACTGCAAACAACCCAAGCAAGACACAATAACACAGAACCTTTTCACAATCCCTGTTTATTTTAATACTATTAGAAGAAATAGTAAAATTGTAACAAAGAAGCGCACACACTAAACTATCCTGCTATTTCCCACTTCCCTTTTAGTAACTTACCTTCTAAGGAAAGAATGTTTAACTTGAATACTCAATCACAATTCAACCACTCTATAAAGATAGGTGTTCTAGTTTGAAAATCCAATAAACAAAATAATCTAAATTCTCAGCCTAAAGCTCAAAGCACAAAACCAAAGATTCCATTAGACAAGCAATATTTTTAAGGGTTGCATGCATTTATAGATTTCTCAGCATTAGCTTCAACTGCTCTTATGCTCACCCTTCAGTTTTGCTTCCACTTCCCTTTGTTTACTAGACCAAGCTTTAGTTGTCAGTTCAAATCAGTTCATCATTTACAGTTGGACTTGAAGTTATTCTTTTAATTCTTGAAGAGCATCATATCGCCTCAAATAATATTAACCTCAAAACCCATATAGTATGAGACTGGGAAACCGATAACTCTTTAACTGATGCATGTATGGTACATGGAAAATAAGAATCCAAAATTGCAATGATATCACCTCAAAGCCCATATAGTATGAGATTGGGATGCCGATAACCCTTAACTGATGTGTATATGATACATGGAAAATAAGAATCCAAAATTGCAATCAGAAAACTGAAAGTCAAAATCCACACATGTCATTCAACTCGTATATAAACAAGCAGTTATTTTATTTTATTTTATTTTATTTTATTTTATTTTTTTTTTAAGTTTCAGTTGACACGAACCGCAATCTCTATTGAGCGGCATTGGTCAGACGAAGCAACTTGATTCGTTTACCCAATTAGTTTGGTACACTACTAACTAAATTGAGGTTATTACCACCAAAAACAAGAACATTAATTAAAGCGAACAAAAACACAGAAGTACAGAGAAAATGTAATAATACCAAAGGCCCCGAAACCTCATCAGCTTTTTCTTTCCCTAACAATTTCTCAACTAAAGCAACAGCAAACTCCATAGTAGTTCCTGGTCCACGACTTGTCACAACATTCCCCTCTTCTTGCACTCTCGATTCAACAGCTGTTGCACCACTTGATTTCAATTCATCCATAAACCCCGGATAACAAGTCGCCTATCCCAACAATTTAAAAGATAAAAATAAATAAATTTCTTTTTCATTAACAAATTTTATCATGACATAAAAAAGTATGATTAATGATTAACACTTACTTTCAATCCATTTAGCAAGCCCCAAGAACCAAATACCACAGCAGGAGAAGCACAGACCGCTGCGTAAAGCTTCCCATCTTCTGCTTGTTTCTTCACTAATTTTTCTAAAAGCTGACAACTTTTAAAATTTGTAGCACCAGGCATCCCTCCCTATATGAATAAATAAACTAAAAATTGGAAAAACAGAAATAAACAAAAAGGAATCAATAAAAATAGAGACAATCAATATGTTTACAGGGAGAGTGATGAGGTCGAAAACTGCGTCGCTGCACTTGGAAAGGAGAGAATCGGCGACGAGTTTAACACCGTGAGAGGCGTCAACACGAATTTGTTTCTCAATGGAAGCGACCGTCACGTCGGCACCTCCTCTCCTTAAAACGTCGATAGTTATGACCGCCTCAATCGGCTCCGTTCCATTGGCAATCGGCACCAAAACCTAAGACAGAAATTCGAGTCGTCAATCATCAATCCTTTTGAAATAAAAATGACACGTCGTTTCAGAAAAACGAAACGGCTTGAACCTTCTTGGTGGTGGAAGCCATTGATGTAGCAGTAGCTTTGATCGTTGAGAAAGAGAAGTGAGGATTACTGAAAGTATGGACTTTTCTCGAGTAGAGTTTTGATTTTGAAGTGAAGCAGAAGAGAGAGTGAGGAGGGGTTACGTGGCGTAATATTGACATTTTTGTGTCATTTTTTCGTTGTTTTTTTTTTAAATAAAAAATAAGTAGGCTGACGGATCTAGAAGGTTTCAGCTTTACTGCGTGAGGATATGGGGTAATTCAGATGTGTGTTGCGGGGGATGTTGACACGTCAGCACGTTGATGAAAAAAGGAACGTTGTGATTGCTCATCCGGGGCTTTTTTTTTTTTTTTTAATGAGTTTATGCTGTGAGGCACGGCAAAAAGAAAATGACACTAAAACTCAAGAAAAATTTAACCATAAATTTAAATATTATTTCAAATCATGCCATCATTCGCATTCGTGTCATTTTCGTTTTGTTCATTATCAATTACCCAAAACGAATTGGTTAGTGCTTAAGGTATGAAAATTAATTAAATAGTTCACACTAGCCGAGTAAAATTTGGATATGTGGCATATATGACATGAAAAAATGATAAGATTGTCATTTAAGCATTGGGATGGCAATTATAAAATAGATATTAACTAGTTGATAACCTATGCTGCGCAGCGAGATTGGTAAATGTAGTAGAATGTTGTATTTGATATATAATGAGTTAAGTTCGATTATTTTTTAGAGTTGGTGTTGTCAATGCCAATGGTTTTTTTTTTATCATTTTGCAACAAAGAAGGCAATGTTTTATGATTTGTTGCTTGATCTTCGTATTGTAAATGTTTACATAATCAATAAAATCATAAACATGAATTAAAAGAAGCATTGAAGGTCAAATAAATTAATAAATTTTTTCATAATAATACTAAAATCTATAACCAGGTTGTGCACCACTAACTACGTGATAAAAACCTCCTTGTGAGTAGAGTACTAATGCTTATTGTAGATAACATCTTATTAAGGTAGTAAAATAACGATTGTGGCAACCGATGTCATAAATATATTAGCAATTGTTGATAAATTTCTTTTAATTCATATATTTTTAATAGTTTTATTAATTAAGCATTCTAATAAGTTATAACATCTCTAATAGTTTAATATCATACAACAATAGTTGAATTTATTATTAAAAAAATAGATAACGACACTTCTAATACATTAATGTCACAAAAAATAATAAAATACACTAAAATTTCAATATGCACTTTACAAAATATTAATTTCCAAAAATATTATCATGAAAATTCATAATAATAGTTATTGTTTTATTGTTGATGTTATGATCCTTTTCTATCAAAATTATAATCATAACTATACTTGTCCTTTTAAATCCGATTGCTCAAATAATAAAACAGATCATAGATGATCCATTTAAAAAAAAACATTTTGAATTAAAAATATACTAGTATGATGAGATATCATACTAAACACAAGATACATAATTATATATTTGTGAATATTATGAGTTGTAATATTATCCCTAACCATATACTTGTGAATCACAATTTTTTTCCTTCATCACATTTTCACTTTTTCTAATTTTTTTTAAAATTAGAAAATAACATAAAATGGAAATAAAATGATTAGATAATTTTTTTTCAAAAAAAGACCAACCAATTATTTTTTAATTAAAAGGACTAATTTATAATTTATTTGATAAAAGATCGTATTTGCAAGCCTGCGAATATGTTGCACGCAAGATAAACACAATAAATGGATCATATAAGTGGTCGGAATTCAACAACTTGAATCCAATTACTTACGTTGGCAAGGTTAATATTGGATCATGTAGGTGGTCGGAAGATCCCGATTATATGACATTAAAAGACCATCACAATGTGGATATAAGACACCTCAAGTTATAGTATTTAAACAACTTGAGTTAAGTCTAAGTGAAAGAGGGTTAATTATAGATGAGGGTAAGGTTTTTATAAAAATGTTAAGCATTCTATATGAACTTGGGTCTCGTTGATGTGTATGTTGAGACATAAGAGGAAGTGGAAAGTGATAGTAGTTTGGGTGAAAATATAAATGTTATAATTGATATGGTAGATGATGGAGATGGAAGTGATGATGATAATGAACAGAATCTTATTGATGATGATCATGAACAAAATGTTGATTGTGATGATCATGAATAAAATGTAAAAGATGTAAATGCCGATGACGACTACTTACCTATTGAGGAACCACAAAGTGATAGTAGTTTTAGCGATGGTGATTTTGAAAGTTCGAGGATAAAGAACTAATCGAGGCTAAAAAGCAAATGAGGAGCATGAGAAGGAAGTGTGGTTCGGTTTTCGGTTTAGTGATGAATGTATGGTTCCTACCATATTAGTTAAAAGAACTAATAAATCAACATGACCTAATATACCTCAACCTACTAAAGGAGACTACACAAGTAAATATGACAACAGCGAGGATAAGCAAATTACCCCTTCTAAAAGTGATGAAAAAGATGTATTTGCCTTTAAACGAAGGAAAAAAAGGAAAGAGAGATTGTTTATGATCCTACATACAATCATAAAGACTTAGTATTCAAGGTTGGAATGAAATTCAGTGATGAAAAATAATTTAAATGAGTTATACGAGTTATATGGTATTGAGAATGAAAGAGATTTGATTTGAGTAAGGAGTCCAAAGAGAGTTATGGAAGCTAAATGAGTATAAGGTTGTGGATGGAGAATGTATGCAAGTAAGAAGCAACTAGAGTACATTTTAAAGTGAATTGTGTTGATGTTGACCATAAATGTGAAAGATCATTGACAAATAGGTTAGCTTCTCATTTAATGGTTAGCCGAAACATATATCCATAAGTTTCGAAGAAATCCTAATAAGTCACGTAAAGGAACTACAATATGCTGTTAATGAGAGGTATGCATTAATTGTCAATATTCATATGTGTTATAAGGCTAAAAATTTGGCTTTAAAGATGTTAAGAGGGTCTCTCAATAAGCATTATGCAAGATTGAGATAATATATTCTTAAGTTAAAAAGGGTAGATAGGGTAGGAATATTCCATTTTGAACTATAAAGTGCGGTAATTTTAAGTTTAGAAGATTCTATATTGGATTTTTAGTATTAAGAAGTTGTTTTTTAGGTAATTGTAGGAGAGTGTTTGATCTTGATAGTGTTTTTTTTTTTTAATATTTTTGGGAGGTTGTTTATTAGCTACGGTAAATAGGGATGCCAATTAGCAAATATTTCCTATAGCATAGGCTATTGTGGATAGTGAGAATGGAGAGAACTAGAGATGGTTTATAGATTTACTTATAAAGGATCTTGGCATCATTGATAGAAATTCTTGGATAGTAGTAAGTGACCAAGAAAATACAAAGTTCAAGCATTATCTCTATTTAACTCTACTTATTTATATTTATAAGTTTAGAATCATTTACCTTTTCTATCATATAAATAATTGTTTACTTATGATTATAGGAACTACAAAATGTTGTCAATAAATGCTTGTTAAACTATGAATATAAAAACTTTGCATAATACATTTATGCAAACCGAAAAAAAAAAAGCATAATGGTGAAGTCTGTACAGAAGCTATTTTGGGCGGTAGTGAATAGATTTGGTGGATTAGAATGTTGGATTGTAAGAGTTAGAAATGGTGGATAAGGTAGCCTTTGATGACTTCATAAAGATTGGGCCACCAAAGTTTTATAAGCCTTTCTTTAGGACCAATCTAAAAAGTGATGCATGTATAAATAATATGTCGAAGCATTTAATGAAACTATATACAAGGCCGAATAAATCCATTGATCAATATACTTGAAAGATATTAAAACTTATATGATAGAGATGATGTACATTAAGAGTAAGATGTTTGAGTCGGTTAATGATGAAATCTACCCAAGAATGAGAAGAAAGCTAGACAAAATTAAACTGAAGCTTATACATCTAGGATACTACCTGCAGTTGGTGATAGATTTCAAGTAAGATTTGATGAGGATATATATGAAGTGAATTTAAAGGATCATACATGTAGTTGTAGAGAATGGGATGTTAGTGATATTCCATGCAAGTACATAATAATAAGCATTACCTTCACTGAGGGTTGACCTTGTAGATTATGTTGATCTTTGTTTCAAGAAGCTCAAACATGTGGGAATATATTTGAATGGTTTTGAACCTTTGAATGGCTTCAAAATATGGCCTAGGAACGAAGGTTATGATATACGATCTCCTCCTTATAAGAAAATGCCGGGAAGGCCGAGTTTATTTCAAATTTATCTTGCTTACTCTTGTTATTTTTTCCCTTCTTTTTTATTTTAATTTTGATAAATAAATAATTATAGTACATGATTTTTGAAATGAAAGGATGAAGTAAAAGAGGAGAAAAGCTCAAGGTAAAGAAACGAGAAATTCAAATAAAACATCTAAGGTAGGAGTTCAAATGTAATGTCAAAATTATTATGCTTATGGCCATAACAAGAGAACACACAAAATTATGGGCCGAGATAATGTAAACCCTACTAAAAATTATACTATTGGTTTATCTAACTTATTATACATGTTGTATGTTTAGAGTAAAAGAGGAATATTAGTAAAGAGTTCAACAAATAGTCCAACTTGCAAACAAGAAAAATTACCAATAAGTATAGTTTAATATTGATAATTCTATTTTAATTTAATTCCCCATAATATGTAATTAAAAATCATTACTATTATAGGTTAAAAGAGGAAAACCTCCAAAATAAACTATTATAATTTCATTCACTTCTAATTCTAGACAAACATCCACATCCGGATCTACTTGTTCCATCCGGACCTCTTTGGAATTCTAGATCCGCAATCCCATCCAGACTTCCCTCCTCTTGGAGATCTATAATCTCAATAAGATCTAACAAAGCAGAAGTGCAAAAGACAAGATGTAACTATAGAAGTTAAAGAATATCGAGAGAAAAGAACGAGTAAGAGGAGTTGGAGTGTACGTAAATGAAAAAACTAGTAATTTGTATTCAA